TTATTGACTTTTGTTGTTCTTTACATTCACATTGTCATTGTATGTAGTGTTTTCATGATTCACTTTGCATTAGTTCATGTAAGTTTCACATGCTTCAATATATTCATCTTCTTTTGTGTCTTATGGATAAGCACAGCCATAAATTCATTTTTCACAGGCTGTTAAACCCTTTCCTAGTCAAGGGGCATCTGCTTTGTTTCCAGTTCTTTATTATCACAAAAATGCAATTATAAATATTTTGGTATACATAGGACCTTATCTCCTTGGTGCATATGCTGAGCAGTAGAGGAATCTCTTGCGTTAAAGGGTATGAGCACGTGAGTTATTTTCTTAGCCTAATTCCAAACTGACTTCCAGAATAGTTGAACTAATTGATAGCTTCACCAGCAATACATGCGTATTCCTGTCTTTCCACAATGCCTCCAACATTGTTTTCATCTTTTGTCACTTTTGTGAACTTTCTAGGTCTCATGTGAGGTAAAACCTCGGAGTTGTCTCCATTTGCATTTCTCTTATTAGCCATTTGGAGAAATCTTTCATATGTTTGTTAATTGTTTGCACTTCTTTTGAGAATGTTTATATCCTTTGACCACTTACCTATTAGAGAATAGCTTTGGGTCTTTTGTATTTCTGGTAGGTATCTCTATATCTTGGATATTACTCTGTTACCATAGATTTTGTACAAATACTTTTTTTTTCATTGACTGCTTCCCTTCTTATCCTAATTGCATTGACTTCATTCATGTTAAAAGCTTTTCAATTTTATATGATCAACATTATCTGTTTTATCTTTTTATTCATATCTATTCACTAATTGTTAAAGAATTCACTCCTTATATCTGTGAATGGGATATGATCTGCTTCTTTTCTAAGTTTCTTATGGTATGATAATCAATATTTAGGTCACACTTCCATTTTGAATTTATTGTGGCAGATGGTATGACAGCCTTTTTGAAAGAATTCAATACCTGGGTTACAGTCTTCCTCTCCTCTACCTCAACTCCTGCCATCATACTTGGGGAAGTTAATAGCTTGATGTCCTCTTAGACATCCTAGTTTCATTCTGAAGTGCATTCCCTGAACTGTTCACTCTTTGTTCACTGGCTATCTCCATTCATAATTCAGATCTGTCTGCTTCTTCACCTTGTGCTTCAGTCTGCTTGAAAGAAAAGTCCACCAGATGAGGGAGGCAGAAGCATCCGTAGGAAGGCATGCCACATATCCCTTCCCTGGCCTTACCTTGCTTAAAGTGTCTCCCCCTTCTCCAGTGTGGAGCCCATGAAGGGCTTCCTCTTCACAATCCAGTTATAGCTGAGAGACAGCTCCCTAGACTGCTGCTGGTCCCTGGGCTAGTTTTTGGAATGTCTGGACGTATACTGCCACTTTCTTCTGTTTGCACCTAATGAAGAGAAACCCTCCTACTTTCCCAGAGAAGCTGCCCCCTGCTGCTTGCTTCTTCACCTATGTCTGTTGGCAATGACTACACTTCCTGACCCTTTTCCTGGGTAGCCTTTCTTCAAACCTTGTGGAAAACATAGGCCTATGCAGCAGTAGTGGGATAAAGGGTGGTCTACCCATGACTATTTCCTTGGTAATGATCCCATTCCCCCTTCCTGTTCAACTCTTGTTGAGCACAGACCAGCAGAGGACCTTGAGGCATAAAGAAAAAGGTCTCTGAATCTTAGGAGGGAGGAAATAGTGCCCTTAGATGCTGGTACTTGGGAAAAGTCCTGGATTCTCCATCCTAGTTGTAGCCTTGTGTCCTTACATGACCTCTCTCTCTCTCTCTCTCTCTCTCTCTCTCTCTCTCTCTCTCTCTCTCTCTCTCTCTCTCTCTCTCTCTCTCTCTCTCTCTCTCTCTCTCTCTCTCTCTGTCTCTCTCTCTCTCTCTCTCTCTCTCTCTCTCTCTCTCTTTCTCTCTCTCTCTGTCGTTTGCTTTTTGGTGAGGCAATCAGGGTTAAGTGACTTGCCCAAGGTCAAGTAGCTAGTAAGTGTTAAGTGTCAACCCTTCTCTTTCTGATCTGCAGTTATACTGACTATATAACAATGTTTGTTGACTCCTTGATAGAACCAGCCACACTTATTCTCTAGTGCCTCCCTCTATTGATTATCTCTAATTGATCCTGTATGTAGCTTGTTTAGCACAGCTGCTTACTTGTTGTCTCCCCCATTATACTGTGAGGTCCTTGAAAGCAGGAGATGTGGGCTTCATTGTATCCTTAGCACTGCACACAATGCCTGGCACAAGGTAGGTGTTCAATAAGTGCTTATTGACTGACGTATTCCAATTCCAAAATGGCGTCTCCTCATCCCATCTTCTTCCTAGTTCTCCCTTTTAACATGAATATCGTGTCATTCTTGAGCAAACAAAAAGTCCATTAGGAAGAAATATAGAACAGAAGAAAGCATTGCCTTTCCCCATGTTGTTTTGTGAACTTAGTAAATAAAATTCCAATAGAGGCAAGGCATGTCTTGTTTTATAGAACTGATGATGTCCAACAAAATTGGTTGTAAAGTAAGTTACTATTAAATGAATTCTAGTTTCTCATTGACTTTCATCAATAAATCAAAAACATATTCAACCCTCAAAAATTCCCAATAAATGGATTTTAAAGTTTTGGGGAAAGAGGGCATGGTGGGTTGCATGAAGATGATGGTGATAATGGTAATGAGAAGGAGGAAAAGGACTGCTCTAACACCTTGAGCTCTCTAGTAATTTAAAGGAGTTGGTGATAGATAAATAAGCTTAAAATTAATCTGTATGAGGTTAATTAAGGATTAACTATATTTTAATTATTATAATATTCAACAGGCTAAGGAAATTGAGTTTCAGTTTCCTCAGCTGGAAAATGGGGATAATTCTTGTCCTTCCTGCCTTACAGAATTGTGAGGTTCCCAATTATAAGCTGTTAGATCTTACAATTGAGATAAGACTTTTGAGACTCCCTCCAAATAATATAAGCTATTTATTTTAAAATAATAGATCTTAGCTTCAAACTCACATGGGATGGATGGTTTCTGTTCACTATGCCATGGTCATCAGCTACATTACAACCCTTGGTAGATGGGTCACAAATATTTGATTTTGGTTTCCAGTGGGACATTGAGAATGGTGGGATCAGACACATATCTGGGGCACTACTGGAACATCTCCAAGAGCATGTTCCATCACTACATGGATAGCATATCTAAATCAATTACAGTGCAGCACAGTGGTGAGCACATAGGTATTTTTAGGGTGACTTTGTGATGCTGAATGTATTCACAATCTTTTTGGTCATGTTTGGTCATGATTCATGAAGACTTGTAAATCATCTGTTGGCTCCAGACCAGATTTCAAAGTGCAAGACTATAAAATTTAAGAATCAATTCACTGATTTCCCAAATAACTTTACCAAAGGGAAATTGCTAAGGCATCTGTAATGTTTCAGGCACAGACAACATCATAAGCCAGATCTGTTTCACTGTGTCTTATATTAGCAGTCCTGTGAATGCTATGAGTGTACTGTCCATACAGTTGAAGGGTTTTTTTGTTTATTTGTTTGATTTGGGGACTAAATGAATATGACAAACAACCTTTTACTGAGAATAAGTACTCTGATATGCCGAAGTACACGTATGTGACATCAGGAGCTTGGTGTAATGAAAAGATCACTAGGTTTGGGTCTTGAGTGTCAGCGTTGCTATTACTTGGGCAAATCCCATCACTTCTCTGGGCCTCACTTTTATCAATTATAAAATGAGAGGGCTGAATTAATACTAGATGATCTCTCTGCTTCTTTCTAGCTCTGATGTTCTATGATTGTATCATGTTTGAGACCCTGGGACTTAGTAGTATTATGAGATGCTTGGGGTTTGGTGTAGAAGGGGTAGATGACAGTTTTGTTGATCCATGCAAAATAGTGGTTAGTTAATTTTTCAAAGACAGAAGTGAGAGCTTGCTTAGAAGATGAAATGTAATCATATTCATTGTGAATTTATGGATACTCCACCTCCATTTGCCATTTATCAGCAGTGCCTGGCTTATTGATTCATTTGAGAACAAAGGAATACTTTCATGGCTCTGATTTATAGCTTTAGAATTCCACTTCCCTTAACCAGTCAAAGTGGATGCTAATAAATCCCTGTTTTGTAAGGACTGGTATATACAGACCCCAGCAGCTGTTTAGTCTTCCTCATTGACAAAATTGATGCAGGATGGCCACATCCAATTGCTTGTATTCTTGAACAATGGGGAGCTTGCTGTATTTTGCTGCAACTTGGGTAGTTTAGGGGTTAGGACAAGAAGGAAGAAGGGCTGAGAAGATAGAGAATATACTTTTTGTGAAGCTAGCCCAGAAGCTTGTGGAGATAACCAGTTTTTGTTTTTGTTTTCTTAGCCTATTTTTTAAAGTAGGTTTGAAAAGACCAACGTTTGTTTTAGGTTACCAAGTGTAGGGTGAATTAGTGATTTCTGTTGGTTGCTATCCATTGCTCTTGGTCCAGAAGCTTGTGTCTGTCCGAAGCAGATGAACTTGTCACTCACAAGCTCAGATTCAGTCAAAACCAAACCTAAAATGAGAAGCTTTTGGGGAGGTGCAATATTGTAAAGGAGTGAGACTCTTTGCTTTATCTAGCTATATGACCTTGGGTAATTCACCTCTGAGTTTTAGTTTCAACATCTGCCAAATGGAGATAAAAAAGCCTCACATGGCTGTTCTGAGGATTGACTGATAGGATGGATGTGGACATACTTTGAAAAGCATAAAGACCGTATATGCAAATTTAAGGTACCATTAATATTTTAGTTTCTCCTGGTTCAAAGGCTAAGACCCATAATGGAGCAGGGAGTACATGAGGCATCCATTTGTTTTATTTCTTCTTTCGAGGCTGCAGTGATGATTCTAGGTTGTCTTCTTTAAAGGGTATTGAATAAACAGTCCCCCAGATAATTCACTCATTCATTGAAAGGATACTATAGATATATAAGGAGAGGCCAAGGTCAGCACGGTTGAAACAACTTGTTTTTTTTTTTTTTATTGATGCAAGCACACCCAGTCACACACAGAATATCCTGCTTTTATGGTACAGCTTTATACTCTGTAATTCATCTTAGAATAGCAAAACACCTTATGTAAGTAAGGAATGAATGGATCGAACTGTGAAAAGAAAGTAACAAATGGAGACACCAAGTCTATTTCAAGTATACACTAGAACTGATCGACCAGGGAAGTGCACATTTATGTGAAAGCTTTTTAATACTTGTACAGAAAGTGGTCTAAAAATGCATTTCAAATATATATATATTTTTTTCTTAAATTTTAAGCATCCCTTTCTTTATCTCAAATACATAAACAAAGCTGATATACAATTCCTTTTATAGTGTTTGACAATATGTACGATCTAGAATGTCTCTGAAAAGTGCAAAACACTGTAATAATACAGTATAAATATTCTTACTCTACCACAGGGCTGAGAATTCTGTTCTTTAGCACAGGAATATAGCAGCAGATCACAAAAACAGTCACCTTCCCTCTCCCCTCTCCAGGCTAGTCTTGCTTGCTAAGCTAGCCCCTCCTACCGCCTCCTTCCATCTGAGCATCTGATTTCAAGGCATCTATTCAACATTTGTTCCTCTTTCGGTGCTATGGGAACGGGAAACAAACAAAATACATCTACCTAGGTTTTCCAGTTTTATTTTCTGGGAAAAATGAATGCCTAGAAACAAAATCTATGAGGAAAGATTTACTTGAAACATGGGTTTATAGGAGATCATCCGGCTATATAATGGAGTGAAGTTGATACTTCCTCACGATTGATGAGAGTCAAGGTATACTCCTTTGAAGTGGATATGGGGGAAATAATTTACTGCTCTAATTGGGGATATAGAAAACATTTTCTAATAATGGGCAGTTTTTCATACAAATGGCTACATTTGTCAGTGGTTTTGCTAATATTCAATTTTTCCAGTGTCCTAATTAAGCATCTATCTGAGAACAGTTGGAAAGAGGGAGTAATCATCTAGTATCATTGGCTGACAGAAGAGCCTAACTTTTACTTTGTACTAGGGTTCAAATGATGGCCTGAAATGCCATAGTGTTCTGGTACTATTTTCTCTCTTGCTACAACCCTAAAAACTGACATCTGTTTCACATCTACCTCCCTTGCCTTATTTTAGATTTATTCTTCCCCCCCCCCTTCTCTGAAAGGCTCCTAGGAACAATTTGCCGGACATACCATTAGGCAAAATTCTGTATCTAAATGTGTAGTTTGTAGATTACATACAAGGTTGTTTCCCCCCTCCCAATAAATCCCTGATAAAGGAAAATGAAAATGTAAACTACTGACAGCCCAAACTCAAATAATCATCTCCAGAAGCATTCAGACATAAAACTCCTCATAGCTTTGGCAGTTATCCCTTTCTTCTAACAAGGTCAGAAAAAAAATGGAATGCTGCCCTTTTGCTATTATAGGTAGGTATGCTGTAGTCCATGTGCCATAATATCTCCCCATATATTTACAAAGATGTAGCTGCTTTCTGGGTCTCCATCCCTCCTGGTTTGAATTTGCTTACTTCCAGCTTGAAAGGAATAGGTACACTAGACAATTTCAGTACCTTATAAGGCACTAGTCCCCGACTTTAGAGAGACACTGCTGTAGAGACTGTCTGATAGGGCACTGAACCTGTGCAGTGTTCAGGTTGTATTTGGTTGGGTTTTTAAATTTTATTTTTCTTAAGATGGAAGTAATCAAACATGGAAAATAAAAATCTACATTTTATTAGATTAAGACATTACCATGGATACTCTCTCCCATGATAATCCCCCCTGTCCCCCAACAGGGCCCTGCCCTGATATTTAAAATAAACAAAAACCTTCATTTTTTAGGTGCCTTAAGGTTGATGCACGAAATATTTACCCTTTTTTTCTCACAAAAGGTATATACAAAACAGACCCCAACCAGTGAGGTCTTGCTCATCTCAACCCCTTGTATCATTCAGGATAAAAACTTGGTCATTCATGTGCTTTTTTCTCCACTTCTATATGCTGCACCCTGAAATTTCAGGCTCTGTTAAGGAGAGTTGTCCTAAATTTGGAGAAAAAGAAAAAATATATATTAGGCAGGTGGTAAGAGTACCCATTTTCCATTATTTGTAAATGAAATGTGAGATATAAATAACAGGGCACAGAAATGGTATCATGCCCTTGCATAATGTTGGTTGGAATATACCAGAAATAAGGACATGTCCAAGGAAAGTGGTAGATCCATAACAGATTACATATTAAAGGGAAGGTTGGGATATTTAGGTTCTATCTTCAATCTCTAATACAGTCAGGGAGGACAATACTGACCTCCTCTAAACCATTCCTAGGTGCATTGGTCAGAATCCTTAGGTAGGTAGACCACAGGGCTGACCATAGGGTGTTTATAGTCTTCATAGAATCTCAGAGGTACAAATTACCTAAGAGGTCCTCTGGTCCAACTCATATTTGAATGAGAATCCCCTTGACATCAGGCTTAACGTGTGTCCTTAGCCTTTGCTTGAATACCTCCAATGATGTGGAATGGCTCAGATTAGTAGAAAATTTTGCATATGAATGGCTACACCTGTCAATGGTTTTAGAAGATTCTATTTTTGCTAACTTTTTTCTATTTTCTGTGAAGCCTAAATTTGCCTCTTTGACATTTCTTCCATCCATTGCTCCTACTTCTGCCATCTAGGACCAAGAAGCACAAATGTATCCCCTCTTCCAAGTGATAGCCCTTCAGAGACACACAGAGGTGTTTTTCCTGACTCCCTGCTAGAATCTTTTCTCAAGGCTAAACATCTTTAGTTCTTTCAACCAAACCTCATATGGCCCTTTGCTATCCTGATTGTCCTCTGTTGAACACTAAAGCTTCTCAGTGACCTTTCTAAAATGAGACACCCAGCACTGGACACAATACTCTGGGTGAACAAGATCCTCTCTTAATGCAGTCTAAGAGTGCTGTAATGTTTTCAGTTGCTGTCTCATACTTTGGAATCATTTTCTTAAGTAAATTTTGTGTACCTGAGTGTCTTCCAGCTGTCTTTTTCCATATGGTTTTCTGGACCTTCACTTTCAAAGGATGCTACAAAGAGAGCTGAAAAAAGGAATACTTGTTAGAACTGGGTGCTCAGGAATTTTTCACCAAGCTCATACTTCTTCTCTCTCCAGCATCAATTCAAACAAGGCCATGAAGCCCTCCTCCCACCATCCCCTGTGGCAGGGGGAGAGAGTGAAAGGTATAAGAAGAAGTCAGGACCAAGAGTTTAAGTTAAATTGCTTTAAAACTAGGTTGGGAAAATGGGAATTATTTCACAGGTGGGAGTTATTTCAATAGGCTACATCACACATAGGACAATATTCTGTGAAGAGCCATTCCACCCCAGGCTATCTGCATGGCACTGACATGTAACTGCCCTTCCTATAAAGATGGAAGCCAATATAGATGAAAAGATTTTACCTTCTTCACTGTAAATAGGTGCTGTGAGTAAGTAACTCTGGATCTTCTTATCTTTGTCAAAAGGACATTCCACTTGCTTCCATGTCATAAAGTCATGAATTTGTCTAGAAATCTCCCAAAATTTCTGCAAAAGGCAAGTCAGTCAATCAATAAATATTTATTAAGCGCCAAAAAAACCTGAATGATGAAGTGTGGAGCAAAGTAATCTCAAATAGGAGTCAGAAGACCCAGCTTCTGTTTAGAGCCCTACTACTAATTTGCTGTGTGGTCTATTTAAAGTTATTTAACATCTGAGCCTTTCTTTATTAATTAGATAGGGATGGTAGCCTCTATATCACAAGAAGGTTCTACTGTTAGGATCAGGTGAAATAACGAATATGAAAGTATGAACTTCTGTACATTTGATTGCTTTTTTCATTTGTGGTTGTGTGTATCTCTTTTCATACTATTTTGTGCCTAAATAGGTCTGCTTGATAGGTGTGGGGAGCTCAGGCTGGTTCTTGGGAAACATTGCTGTGGTTATGTCAAAAAAACTGAGCACTGGGACATAGAGTTATCTGCCAACGGCTGACAGCTTCCTTCTCTTTGTTGGGGAGACCTTAGCCAGGTAATAGCAATTTTCTGATTCTGATTCTGGGGCCTTAGGGGCAATCTAGAGCTCTAACCCCTGCACTGTCCTGTGGTATCAAGGAAACAGACTATTGATTTTAAGTTTCATCCTGGATTGTGTCTTTGGGAAAATCCTAACCACTGCTTCTTCATCTATTAAACTCCTCTCTCTCTCTCTCTCTCTCTCTCTCTCTCTCTCTCTCTCTCTCTCTCTCTCTCTCTCTCTCTGTGTGTGTGTGTGTGTGTAGTGTGTGTGTGATGGTGGTAGACTAGACTCCCTTCCGTTCACTAATTTTAAGAAGCATCTCATTTCTCTCTGGCTCTCTCAATAGTAGATTGGCATTCAAAATCCTCTTCCATACTCTGACTCCAACCTAAACTCCCCTTACCCAGTCTCTGTACACATTCCCATCTCTCTATCTGTTTCCTTCACTGAGAATTCCCTCCCTCACTTCTCCACATATCCAAACCTTTCCCATCCTTCAGGACCCAACTTGAGTCTAACCTACTCCATAAAATCTTCCCTGACTACTCAAGTCCATATTGTTTTTCCTATTGTGACCTCAGCCGGATTTCTATTGTTCATTTAGATCCTTAGGACGGACATCTTCAGGCCAGGTCTCTTACCTACACTTTCTGTTTCACTTTTTATCTGTGTCAAATTCTTTTAGGACAGGGACTGAGCCTTATACTTCTCTGGCTCCTTTAAAGTATGGTGCACATTATTATTATTTTTTGGAGGCATTTGGGGTTAAGTGACTTGTCCAGGGTCAACCTGCTAGTATGTGTCTGAGACTGGATTTGAATTGAGGTTCTCCTGACTCCAGGGTCAGTAATCCACTGTGCCACCTACCTACCCCCACAATGTGTCGTCGATATTGTTATCTAGTCATTTGACTCATGTCCAACTCTCCATGACCCCATTTGGGGTCTTCTTAGCAAAGATATTGGAATGGTTTGCCACTTCTTTCTCTAGCTTATTTTGCAGATGAGGAAATTGAAGCAAACAGGGTCAAGTGACTTGCTTAGGGTCACCCAGCTAGTCAGTGTCTGAGGAAAGATTTGAGCTCAGGGAGATGAGTCTTCCTGACTTCATGCGCAGTGCTCTATCCACTGCTCCAGCTAGAATAGGAATGACTTCTTTCTGGCACTATCCTACCTACCTTATTTCCCTCTACTTTTTATTCCTGTCTCCTTCTAGCCCAGTGCACCAACTAATTGTAACAGAGCCATGGCATCATGGATTGGGGACTGCATTAAAAAACTGGCTTCAAATCCCACATGTGACATGTTTTTGCTGTGTGACTCTGGACAGTCACTTAACTTCTCTGAGCCCAATTTTCCTCATTTGCAAAATGGGAATAATAATAGCATCTCCTTAATAGGCTGCTTATAAGGATCAAATGAGATAATGTTTGGAAAACATTTTGCATACCTTTAATTGCTATATAAATGTGAGCTGTCATCATTGCCATCATCATTATTTTGCTTAGAAGACTTAGAAGCTAGCCAGTGCAGTGGGGTCTGGAATGATCTAGGCTCAAATCTTGCCTTAGATCCTTACTAGCTGTGTGACCCTATGCAAGTTATTTAACCTCAGCCTCAATTTGAGGGAGTTAGACTTGTTGGTTTCTAAGGTCCCTTCCAGCCCTAAATCTATCATCGTCTGATCCTAAAAGGACCCTAGAGTTGATCCATTCTAACTCTCTCACTCATCAAATGAGCACTGACCTGATGAGATGAGACTTCTAAGAGGTGTAGATAATGAGTAGCAGTGAATTCATGTCCAGGTCTTCCGACTTTAAATGTAGTTGTGTTTCTACTATGTCACATGGGCATTCCTTCATTTCTTTCTTTCCTACCTTTGGTCACAGAATCTACCCACTCACCCTTCCCTCCCCAACCCCAAATTCCTTCCATGCTTCCCTTTGTCAAATATTACTACTTTAGCACTCAGCTTATCTTACACATCTCTAAGACTTGTCCAGCCCACAATGATCTCTCCTTTCTTGAAATGTTCAGATTACACTCAGGGCCAGATCAATGCCACCCATCCTAGGACTTGATTGTTTGCTAATTGCTTACAGTGTTCATTTATTATCTGTCTAGCCCTCTGAAGGCTGCTTTCAGTCTCAATGAGGGTATAGTAGAACTCATCCATATGTTGATTAAGGGGTGTCCTAAATCTTCCACCTCCATTCATCACCCTTTCCCCCATTACATACAGCATGAATATTTCTTACTGAAAACTGCCTGGGCTCACCTTGAAATTTATTTGGCCATTTGGCAGACGGTTAGTGTGTATTTTGTGCAGGAAGTAGATGTCCTTGATGAAGAGGTTGAAAACTGGGATGACTATCTTCTCCCTGCTACTGTTGGCAGTCTGAGACCTCTGGGCAGCCCCTTGCAGGGCAGTTCGATAGTTACAGAAGTTGCTGGATGGATCCATGTGGTGCTGCAAGTGAGAAGGATGAGACATGAGTCAAATATGCTTCTCTCAAGACTTTCAAGTGCCATCCCTCAACGTTTTTCTTCCTCTCTGTCTCTTCATGGCTGAACACTTTATTCCCCTTTCAGTAACCAGTCAAGACAGACTTACGCAAAGATACTCTAGTCTCTTTTCTGTGGAAAACAAAACAAAACAAAACAAAAAAGACCTAACCTTGGCCTAATCTCCAATCCTGCCACTAGAGGGTAGGCTTTCATTGCGAATCATTGTGTCTGGCTCCCTAATAAAGGAAGTAAGAAAAGTCACCCTAAGAGAAAATGAGAGAGAGAGAGAGAGAGAGAGAGAGAGAGAGAGAGAGAGAGAGAGAGGAGAGAGAGAGAGAGAGAGAGAGAGAGAGAGAGAGAGAGAGAGAGAGAGAGAGAGAGAGAAGAAACTGCTAAGTGTGCAAAGGATGGGGATTTCCTGGTATGAAGTCAAAGTAGTTGCTAGGGAGACACAGATACAAAGCTGGTCTGGTCAATGATGAAACAGATAAAAATCTTCAGAAATACACTCCCTGCTTTATCATTTCTCTTATTTAGTTTCTACCCCTGGTCCCTAGGGACAATAAAACACTCTCTCATGAGCTCTTATCTCAGCCCATCATCAACACTTGCTCTCAAATTCTTCTCTTACAGTAGGTTGTCTATACTGATGTCATCTTAAAGTGCTACCCTCCAATGCTATTTGCACATTAAGAATGATCACAAGGAATGAAGTGGTAATGGTGGAATTTCCAGCATCATCCATTTAGAGGAAGAGGACTGGATGTAGAGAGTGGGGGAAGCAGATGAGGGAATTTTAAGATGGCTATGTATTTTTCCTTTTGTCCTAAAAACACAGAAAATGCCTATGGATGCTTCTTCTAGGCTAGGTTACTAAAACATCAGTGTCAGCATGTATGGAGAGACCCTTTGAGGCCTCAGGGTAGAGAGACCATGGTAGCTTGCTTTCTTGATGTCTGGCTCAGGCCTCATCATATTGTAGCACACTATGGCTGCATTTTTTCTTTTACAAAGTTAGTATTAACTCTTCCTTAGGCACCATGCCAAGTAACCCAGCACATACCTCCAGAACATCAAATTTAGCGGTCTTGACTTTGGACCACGTTTTCTTTAGTCGTGCCACTGGACTCAGATTCATACCGGCTGTAAGAGGGAGAAAATCACCATGGAATCAGCTCAAGGGACAGTTTTCCAACTGCCACTATAATCTGTGAAGGGAGTGTTGTTTCAGTTTGGAAGGTTGAGGTGGGAGAGAGAGAATGATAAAGAAAAAAAAATGCCACAGAACTGGAAGAAATGAAGAGGCTTCCAGCTTAGTTCAATGATCATTTAATGCAACCTGGCCTCCCAAAAAGCCCTAGTCTTAGAACTGAAATGAAAGGATGAGAGGTTTTAAGTGTTGCCAGAAGGTGGCAGGGTAAGGTGGGGAGGGCCGTGTACTCACAGATAATGGCCATCATGGAGTTAAAATTCCCAATGTTGAAACATTCCCTTGCCACATCAATGAAGAATTCCACCATTCTTGTCCTTTGCTTCTTCTTTACCACCTGAAGGAAAGAAACAGTTTCCAGTTAAGTCTTTCAAGAGGCCAATACATTCAAACTACAGCCGTTACAACTTCTGCTCTGTGACACTTGGAGATAATATTGTAATTAATCTCTATTTCCTCTCCCTGAGGTGCCTCTGTGGAGACTGATTAAAGGCGGTCTGAAGGATATGAAGTTCACTTGTCTTTCTCATATATCTTTACAGTATAGTTATTGTATTGGTCCAAATATAGGCCACACTTTCCCCAAAATGTGCTTTTATAGAAAACCTGAGTGTGGTCTATAAAGGGGTATTATTTTTGAGCATATGACATTTTTTCACATTCAAAGATCTCATTTTAAGACCAGGATTGGTCCATAGACCTTTAAGAAAAATGTAACCATACCTCGATACTGTGATATATCTAACATGTATTCACAGTCCCAGAGGTGAGTAAGCATAGGAAGATTCACTGAGGTTTCTCCAAAGTTGGGAAAGGATCATCTTAACATGAATAGCTCAGCCTCAAAAATCATGGTCCAAACAGTATTCTCGAAGGAGCAATCTCAAGATTAGAGAGGAAGCAGGGAGGGTCAGTTTGAATTTATTTTTCTAGGGGTGGGGTGTTCCCTAGGCAGCCCACCCTATCCAGCTGTAAAGTGATCCATCCAGCAGCAGGAAAGTATCAGCAACTCCCCCCCATGCCAAAAGGTTAACATCAAGGAGGGGTTCTTGGCATCCGGGACCTAGAAGTTACTCCGTCACAGCTGCATCTGTCCACCTTCATCTTTTTGGCACCAAACCAGCTTAGGGGCTGTGCAGGATAAACACACTAGCCCTTGTGTGCTGATTCAGGTCCATTTCATCCTGTTTGTTTCTAGTGATGTGAATTCTGACTGACACTCACTCTTAAGCATCCACTGTGTGACCACAATTGGACTAAGGCCATTGGAGAGATGAGAAGTGTAAAACTACAATCCCTTCCTTTAACAAATTCATAGTCAAGCTGGAGAAAGAAAATTCACAGACCACACAAAGCAGTGCCAGATTGCATGTCATAAAGTGTCCCAAATGGGGACAGAATCAGGTCCCTAACTTCTCAAAAAAGGGAGAAGCAAAAGGAGATAATAACAATAACAACTAGCCTTACATAGTGCTTACCACGTGCCAGCTGCTTTTCTACTATTATCTCATTTGACCCTCACAACAACCCTATCATTATCCCCATTTTACAGTTGAGGAAACTGAGGCAAATAGAGGTTAAGTGTCTGATTTTCTGTGATTAAATCTAGGGTTTTCTTAGTAGAGATACTGGAGTGGTTTGCCATTTCCTTCTCCAGCCCATTTTAAAGATGAGGAAACTTGAGGCGAAAAGGGTTAAGTGACTTGCTTGGGGTCACGCAGCTAGTAAGTAGCTAAGGCCAGATTTGAATTCAGGTCTACCTGATTCTAGGCCCAATTTATTATGCCACATAGCTGCACTATAGTAGACTGAAAAGGCAGACATTAGGGTGGGCTGCTTTGTTAAGGAAGACTTTGGGGAATTGAAATTGGAATTGAAAGTGGAAATTGAAAACTTGAGTTGTATCTTCAGATGAATAGTAAGTACTTTGACAAGTAGGGAGAACATTTCCATCCTTGTGTATATAGAAGGTTTATGTTTATTTATTTTTTCTTAATCGGATGGTGGGATAGGAGATAATCTGCTTATTTATAGGACAGGATGATATATGTCACTGCATATGAAAAAAACCGCTCTCGTTCAAAGCACAGATCTGACATGCAGGACCACTTACCCTGCAAATCTCTGTGGCCACCAGCATGCTCAGGCAGTTGAACCAATTATCATAGGCCTCTAGGGTATAGGTCTTGGTTACGTCCCCACGGCACTGAAAGATAAGAGATCAGAAATCAGTCCTGACCTTTGGGGATCTGAAGGACAAATTCTGTGTAACTCAGTGCAAAGTTCCTGCTTAGGTCTACAAAAAGCAGGAAGATGGTCCTCAAATTATTCAACTTGTTTAAAAAAAAAAGACCCACCTTGTGATTATCTAGAGAGTCCATGTGGCTGACTATCTGCATCAGATCCTCAGGGTAAATGTTGCTGACCCTTTCCTGGAATGGAAATGGGGAGGAAGGATATTAGAAAAGATGATGTAGCTACTTAAAAAAACAAGGAAAAAAAGCTAATAAAATCTAAACATGCATAACTAGATGCATGATGTCCAGATGATGGGAGATAAAATTCTAATGTACTCTACACTGCTATGATCACACCCTGGGGATATTATGTTCAGGCTTGGTCTCCACATTTAAAATGGTCCCTGAACTTAATGACTGGTGTATTCAAAGGTACCAGGCTGGGAAAAAATCTGTAAGTTAAGAGAAATGATTGAGGGACTTTCAAGAGGGAAGACTTAAGGATGTGTGTTGTCTTCAAATACTTTTAATGTGGAAGAATGATTAGTATTAATTTGAGGTTGTCAGAAGGAAAAACTAGGAACAAACTATAGAAATTGCAGGAAGGAAGATTTCTCAGTAGAAGGAATAACTTTCTAACAATTAGAGCTGTCCAACCATGCAATGGACTCTCTTCTTAGAGAGCTCCCCATCATTAGAAATATGTAAATAGATGGATGAGCATCCATTAGGGTTGCTGTGGAAAGGATTCATGCATCAGGAGATGAGACTGACCTATATGAACCCTAAGGTCCTTCTGAGTCTACTGTACTAGGGTGTTCAGAAAAATTCACAATTTCAGGGGCCCACTCATTCCTTATTCTGTGGTCTGATACTCTTGGGGTAGCCAGTTCTGAAACTGTCCAACTCCTAGTGATGCCCTTGACCCTTAAGAACCTTGCATTTAATTTCTTCTTGGTGCCATATGATTTATGTGGGTCCAGAGTCCTAAGTTTTCTTTCTCTCTTGTTAGGGCTAATTCTTCCGAGGTCAAACTTGATTGTTTCCCAAAGTAAATCTCAGCATAAAGCCCAGAAGCCCCAGAAATGCCTCTGTCCACTTTTTATTGAAACCCTTTAGCATTGCATGGAGCTATCTGGGGCAGGCTATGTGAGTCATCATCTTCACTTTACTTTTTCTACAGACTGGTTATACTTCTGATCCAGTTCTGTTGATTTTAATTATCCTTTCAGGCATTCATAGCACTGAATCTTGTATATATGTTCTATGTTACAGACTTATAAATGCAGACATAGATATGGATGATAGAGATAGACTAGATAAGTATAGAAATAGATCGTATGGAAGTAGACATAGACGACATAGACATGGATATGAATGAATTGAATGCTAGACTTCATTCTCATGACTTTTTTACACAAGTTTTTTGGGAGCTAGAGGGCATACTGAGAACTATAACCTTGAAGTGTTATAAGCTGGGAAGAGGGCTGGGGAGGAGGTGAAGACAAAATACTAACCAGCTCTATGTGGGTAAGCTGCTGGGCTAGAATGAGTGGGTCACAACACACACTTAGGATATCCTTCTGGGACGCCTGGGGCTTTGACTTCAGAATAGTCCCTTTGTCTGTGACAGGCTGACGGAACTTCTCCCTTATCTCCTGGAACTGGTTCCTGGTGGTAAGGGACAGGATGAGGTTCTGGGTCATCTGAGTGATGGTTGCCTTCACTGTCCCATTCTCCTAAGAGAAAAAGGGAGAGAACAGATTCATTAAGCCATTCGAACTCCTTGGTCTACTTAGATGCTGGATATAGTAGATAGCACACTAGGTGTGACAACATCGCCTTCTATCTGAAGAATATTAGCAATCAAACCCTTTGCTATTACATGTTTATCAGTAGAAGAAGAAAGAGTTGTCCCAGCTCTCTCTATTCTTTCCCCTTTTCTCCTCCTCCCCAATATTGCCACCTTCACCAAGACTCTCTCAACACCTTAGGTTTGGATTTCTAGAACAGCCTTTAAATGGGTCACTCTTCCTTAAGACTTTCCCTGATGAATTCCTTCTGGATGAGACTGCCTAAGACTTTCTTGAACTGAACCTATAGTACTTCTCTTTGTTGACCACACCAGATCCAAAACTTTTAACCTAGAGCTACTCTACTTTACCAACCATCTCTCCCACTATTTCTCAACATATAGCATTTAGTATGGGCTTTTCGTTATCTCCTTACACATTTCATACACATTCCAGATTCTAAGTCTTTATGTTTTCCTCTTCACCCCAGGTAGAATGCCCTCTTCCCTACATATCCAAAGTCATCTCAACCTTCCAGGCCCACTTCTCTGACAAACTTTCCCTGATAATTATTTTATTAGCATTCTTTGATATTGCTAATTGCTCCCTTCCAGAACCATGCAATTGAGCAACTTAATTACATGTATATCATTCTGTTTCATGGATCTATTATTTGTCTTCAGTGAGATTGTAAGTTCCTTGAAGGCAGATGCCCGCATCCTTTATCTATTAGTGTTAAATGCAGCACTGGATATGTTGGTACTCAGTAAAAAAGTATCAGTCAAAAAAAACTATACTGTTGTCATTATACTTTCCTCTGCCAACACTACTACTAATAATAGCTAGCTTTATATATCACTTTAAAGTTTAAAAAAACTTTCGCTATCCCACCTAATCATCACAACAGCCCTGTGAGTATTATTATCCCCCCTTTACAGATGAGAAAATGAAGCCTACAAAAAGGTAAATGACTTGCCCATGGTCATATAGCTTAGTAAGAGTCAAACTTTTTTACATGCTCTCCTCATTACATGAGGCTGACAATTATTCTATGTGCTAATGACTACAAGCTGGGGGATAAGAGAGAAGGGGACCTTGGGGAATAGGAATAGGAAAGACCTCCATCAGTGAAATTCCCTTCCTGCTTGGAGGCACTTCACAACAGCTGGTACTCTGCCTGGAGTGAGTCATAGGGCTTCTCTCTTATCTGTGTGCATGCGTTTTGGACAAATTCCTGAAGCTGACCCTCTCCAGGGACTGAGACTGTCAGGAGTCAGGACCATGCTCAGTGAAGCTCAGCAGCTAGGCACCACCTGTCCTGTCAGAAGGCCAGTCCCAATATCTTTCCTGGCAGAGGAGGGAGCCGATCAGTAGTGAGAGATGGAAATGGTGGTGGGAAAAAACAAAACAAAACAAAACAAAACAATTGAGCCTTCTGGAAACAGAGGGCCCTCCTATGGCTTTTATACTAACTTTGAAAATGGAATGTGATATGCTATCTATGCCCAGAGTCTGAGAATGAGGTAGTCACCAAGCCATAATAGGAATTGAGTTCATTCTCTCTTAAGTGAACAACCATCATTTGAGACCATGTCCTTCTTCAGCTGTTTAGCAGTTATTTGCTTTTGATTCTAATATCCCTGGGCCAGAGGTGTGATTATCCTGACAACTTTTTGGGAGGACCTCAGGTCTACCTAAGCGTGATGACTGAACCATGAATTCTCTCCCTCCAGTAAAATAAGCTTTCACATTACGTAGCAGTAGTTTCCCTAGGCAAATCAAGGAAAGATAATGCAGTCAGAGCTGTTTCGTGGGGAGGCAGAAGTCAGATTATAATGGAGAAGTAGCTAGTTGTAAACTTCTATGGCAGTTACCATTTTTTTTTTAAGGAAGTTATATTGAATGTGTTAGCACACGAGAAACCCGGAGTTGTGGTCTGAGAGACCAAATGAAAAAAGTGTGCATGGGATGGGGCAAACGGTTTCTGAAGATACTTTTTTTCTCTGCTTTCTGTTCCCTTGAGGCTAACCTCAAAAATGAGGGGAAACTTTGGAAATGAATAAAAATTCCCAATGAATTGGACTCGCAGCTAATTCCAGGTGTTTGGGTCAAGCCCAGTAATTTATGAATTAGCAAGTGATCAAATATTTGTCATTAATGAGAGAAGGTGTGTTGTAACAGTGGACGGAATCCTGGACTTGGAGTCATTGGTTTTGGTCTTGGGCAATGTTTCCTCCTTTTCAAAATGAGCATGAGTAATACCTGCAGTATCTAACCTCTCCCCCTCCCCCCCAACAGGGTTGTTGTAGGGGTTAAGTGAGCTAGGCATGCAAAACGATTCAGTGTTTACAAAGTGCTAAATAAATGCCACCTCTTACCAAGATGGTCTTGCTCCTCCATTTCTTGAATTATTACTCCTGTGGCTGGCGGTGATTTCTTTTTTATAGCTTTGTTCTTTATGTGGCTTTGTTTCCTGCCTCCCAGGAGGCTTTCCTTCATAGTGATTAAGGCGATTCCTTTGCTGGAGTGGTAGGGCCAGCTTTAAACTGATTCTTTTACCTAGTGTTGAAGGACTTGGCTAAGAGTTTGTGTGTGTTAGAGAAATGGACCCTTGGTCCCTACTCAGCAACTGATCTCTCAAAGACATGCCCCAGTGTGCCTGAGAGCCTCGCTGAGTGAGCTGTCAAGAGCATCTGGCCAAATAACTCACCTGCGTCTCATCCTCCTGGGGGCTGGGCTGCCTAATTTGCCCTGAATCTCTGCTTATTTAGGCCCAGCACTTCCAACATCCCAGAGTTTATCTGCTGTGGCTTTAATGTAATGCCTTCACTTAGATGCCTTTTGACTTTCTAACTCTTGACTGTTTCTACAAAGTCTTTCTTCCTGAGGCTAAAGAATGACAAAATTGAGCTGTTAAGAATCCCAACTCACTTCCTCATAACAACCCTGTGAGGTGGGGAGTGCAATGATCATTATTCCCATTTTAGAGATAAGGAAACTGAGACTCTGAAATGTTTAATGACTGTCCCAGTGGTGAACCAGCAAGTATGCCAGGTTAGACTTGAGCACTGTCTGCTAATTTACAGGTACTGTTGAAAGAGTCTCATTAGGAAATAAAATTGAAAGGGATAAATGGCTATCTTATCACTCATGTCAATTTGAGTCACTGAGGACCAACCACTGTTACGTGAGCAGTGAACTTGAAGAGGATGTACTTTGTTGTGATAATGGGGCCGGAAAGAGCCATGGACCCTATTTCTGCTGTTCCTGTCTCCAGACCCCATGCCCCACTGGTCCGTTAGGTGAGTCACACCTCACATGTCTTTCTGTATGTCCCCTTGAAGTGGCAGACTCTTCCCCAGATAGACTCCCTTCACTTCACCATTCCCAGTGCGGCTTCCCTTGCTGCTCTGATGGCTCCTGGCAGCTTTCAACCTGATTACTGACCTAAACCAGATTTTAGTTCCCTCTTCCCCTTGAACTGAGGTTTCCCTAAGATCTTCAGCTTTTAATTCCTGAAATCAAAATAGTGTGGTGGAAAAGGCCTGAGCCTTGAGAGTCAACAGCCTTAAGTTCTAATCCTTTCGCTGCTACTAACTCCCTGTGTGATCTAGGGGACATCACTTTAACATGCCTGAAACTTGATTTACTCATTTGCAAAATAGTCATCATAATGATGGTTCTACCCTATTTTAAAGCAGGTGGTAACACTGTGGAATGCTGTGAAAAAGTTTATTATAAATATGAATGATTTTTTCTATCTACCTATACTTATAATAATAATAATAACTAGCATTTGTATAGCACAATAAGGTCTGCAAAACCCTGCATATTTTATCTCATTTGATCTTCACAACAACCCTGTGAAGCAGGTGCTATTATTATTATTACCATTTTACATATAGAGAAACTGAAGTCAACTAGTCCAATGACTTACTCAGGGTCATATGGCCAATAAGTGTCTGAAACAGTATTCAAACTCAGGTCTTTCTGGGGCAGCTAGGTGGTGCAGTGGATAGAGCACCGGCCCTGGATTCAGGAGGACCTAAGTTCAAATCCGGCCTCAGACACATAACACTTACTAGCCGTGTGACCCTGGGCAAGTCACTTAACCCCATTGCCTAACCAAAAACAAAACAAAACAACACAAACTCAGGTCTTTCTAACTCCAAGCCCAGTGCTATTCACTGAGACTACCCAGCTGTTCTTCTGGCTTGTTGACATTCTTTCCCTATCCCTTCTAAAGCTTTATAAAGTGTATCATATACAGTATTAAAGATGCTTCTAAAGCAGAAAAACCAGTGCATTGGGAATCAAAGAACCTAGGTTCCAATCTTAGGCTAGTTATAACTGTCACCTATGTATGATTTAGGATAAGTCACTTTAACTCCCTGTGTCTCAGTGTCTCATCTGTAAAATGAGGGCCTTGAACTAAATATTCTCCTTTCCAATTCTAAATGCTATGATCCTGTGACCTCTTACTACTTTCAAGATATGGACTTTGGATTGTTTTCTGAAAGGTAGGGGATTAGTTGAACTGAGCTTTCCCTAATCTCCAGCCTGGTCTCAGTCATTGACTCAATTTTGGAAAATTACCCAGAAGACACAGTTTGTGACCATGGAAACAAAGGCTTTCTCTGTGTGACCCTGTTCAAAGCCACAGCCAGAAGACCCTTATACCCCACCCTCCCCCCATAACCTAGCAAATCCTCAGGGAAGTTCAGGTGCTTTGTTTTCCAAGTGACCTGAGAAGCACTGAGAAGCTGGGTGGGAGATTCCCTTACCTCATCACACTGTGTGATTCTGTGAGTGATCTCTTTTAGCTCCTTCATGACCTTCTCATCCTGGAAATCATAGGGGAATGCCTCAGTCCATTCCTTCAGGAGCTGGATAATCTTGGCAGTGAAAGACTTTAGCTTGGCCTGAGAGAGAGAAAGAAAAATATAGGGATAGAGACAGAGAAAGGCAGAAAGAGTGACAGAGAAAGAGAAAAAGAGAAAGGGAGGCAGAGGCAGAGAAAGAAAGGAAGGAAGGAAGAAAGAAAGAGAAAAAGAAAGAAAGAAAGAAAGAGAAAGAAAGGAAGGAAGAAAGAAAGAAAGAAAGAAAGAAAGAAAGAAAGAAAGAAAGAAAGAAAGAAAGAAAGAAAGAAAGAGAAAGAAAGGAAGGAAGGAAGAAAGAAGGAAAGAAAAGGAAGGAAGGAAGGAAGGAAGAAAGAGAAAGAAAAGAGTGTTATGATGATCCAGTGACCTTAGAGCTGGCAAGCCAGTGTTAGGGAGGGGCTTGCTTGGAAGTCCTGGCTGGGCTGGGCTCAAGAGGTACTGTGAGCAATGACAAATACTAGTGGAAAAAATAAAAATCCACAGGAACCAGTTGCTTAAATCAATGGTATCTCAGCAGTGTGTTAAGCCACATGTACACACTGCAGAAGTGGTTGAGCTTCATTGTTACTAGGCAAAAAAAGCCATGGAAGATCTACTCAGAAGGAATGTGTGCAAAGCTTTATTTTGTATGTGCTCCAGACTATTTCTTTGTGCTTAAGAAAAACTACAACCCAGGAGGACATCTTTGTACATACTCCTCCTACACATCTAAACAAGATGCCTTTGAAGCAAACTGCCAGGTCTTGTCCAGGCGAAGTATCTCAGTGCCAGGAATGAAAGCTGGGGGGAAAGTGCCAATTTAACCCAATGATTCCAGTCTGGCTAGAGTTCTACGAACCCATCTTTTAGATGCAGTGGTAAGCTGGTAAATGTCTAAGTAATGACTGGCTCTCAAAAAAAAAAGAATATGTTCCTGACACACTTTTAAGCTTAATCTACAATATTATTAATATTTTCTCCATGATTTTTTAAGTCTATACAATCAAAATAATAAAACCAAGGCTTGATTTGTAGTGTTTGCTAATTTCCAAACTATAACATGCTCACACCAAAAATTTAACAATCGGCTTTCACAAGCTAGTCCAAGCTGGCTCCAGCACACCCCTTTTTAGGTGGCTCTGGTTTTATGGGCTTAGGCTACTGTTCTTTTTGTTGCTGCAAAGGGAAAACAAGACAAACTCTAGGGTAAGGGTTCTTAACTGTTTTTGTGCCATGGATCCCTTTGGTGAAGACTGAGGACCCTTTCTTAGAATGTTTTAAAAATGCATGAACTAAAACACACAAGATTACAAAGAAAACCAACTCTATTGAAATACATTTATTAGAACACTTTAAAAACAAGTTGATGGACCCAATATTAAATCAATAAGCCAATTTTCATGTGCCTACTGTGTACCAGGCACTATGCTAAGAACTGGAGATATAGAGAAAGGGAAAAACAGTCCCTGTTCTCAAGAAGCTCCCATCTAGGAGAACTGATTCCTTCAGGCAAATCTGGACATATGATCACACTAAATCTCAGTTTAGTCATTTGTAAAATGAAGAAATTGGACTAGATGACCTTTTAGTTGCATTAAAGCTCTAAACCTATTACCCTATGATCAGTATTCCTAAGGAAAGGGAAAGAGCTCTGAGGAGAAAAAGAGGGGATCTAACTTTATGAATCTAGCACCCAAATCCATCCTGGTTAGGAAAAGAAGTCAGGTCCCCTGAATCTAGGTCAGCTTTGCTATCTACAGAGAACTGGGAACTAATGATTAGAAGCCTGTGATAGTGATTTAGTCTTCCTTGCTGAGGGGAGGATAAGGAAAGGATGATTCAGTGTTATGTGTCTAGATATGAGGGTGTGTTAAATCCTCCTGACCTTTGCCTAACAAGCTAGCTGTGGTGGCCAAGGATTTTAGTTCCATGCTTTAGCTTTCTATTTGAAAGAGGAGATACATGGTCTGCAGTGAGGTTTTGATGGTGGGTAATTTTCAGCTGGCTGGAAAGGGTGTTAAGGGCAGACCTGTTAGGAAATCAAGTGACTGGCAACTGTGTCTTTGTGTGTATCTAGACTAGATTAGAATTATCCTTCCTGACCTTAACAACATTGGACAGAAAAAGCTGATGTTAGTAACGGACCACAAACATTCCATGACAGGCCTGAGAGCATGGTGAGGGCAACTCTGGGGTTGGTGAACCAGAAGAAGAGCTTTAGAAAGTTTTGGCTTTCGGGCTGGAAGTTTAAACGTGTTCTGCTATTACAGAGAATGTGGTGACTAGAAAGATGTCAAAGCAACTATTTTCCAGCCAGATTTCCCCTGAGATTAGGGACTTTCTGTCAGGAACTCCTTAGCATTGCCCTCTGCACATGGAAATTGGAAAACTCATGACGTGTCATAACAGCAATAGCTCACACTTGTATAGTGTCTTAAGTCTTGCAAAGGACTTTAGATGTATTATATCATCTTGGTTCACATTGTGGATTTATCTATCATTTTTAAATCAATTTATATTTTCAGCGTCTTTTTTTTCAGATCTGATTTTCAGATTTTCAGATCTTATTGGCTTGGAATTTTGCCAGTCTGAAGGAATTTGTTTGGCCCATCCTGACCTTAGATACCTTGGACAGAGGCAGATGTCAGTGACCCAAAATAATAAAATGGAACCAAAGACATTTCTGGTAGTAGTGAGTTAAAATGATCCCCCTTTCAAGGTTTGGCTTGAGACTTGAAATGCAGATGTAGGCTGCTATTATATATAATTTGGTGTCTTAGGAGATACAGAAGGGGAAGATGGGAAATCTGTGTCTAGTGGCCAGTTCTCAGCAAACTACTGCATTTGTTATTCTCTGCAAGTCATTTATGAAAATGCATTGGATAGAAGCATGAGCCAGTGGGAGGATGAACTTGAGGGAGGGAAGAGGAATTTCACTAATGACCAAAACTTTGTTAGGCAGCATCCCACCACATTGGCATCAAAGTTCTTCAGTCATCTCTCATTCACATTGGCCATCCTACAGTCTCACCCACCCAATCTCATGGCCTTCCCTAGCCTTCTACCCCAAGTTCTTTGGCAGGCTGTTATAACTGTCCTCTTATCAGAGAGGGGAGTGTTGTTCTTTTCTGTCTTTCCTGAATCATATTGCCTTCCAGGGCATTTGTGGTCCATGTGCCTCCATCATTCAGTCCAAAATCTTTGAACAGAGCTCTGAACTGGTCTCTCCTCTCCCCCCCATCTCTAGGGAAGCTAAGGTCTCAGAAGTGTGTTTTTTCTCGCTAAAGTTGTAGACTCAGTGTGCCATCCATTTGTCACTCAGAGGACCTTAGTTATCTTGACTACAAAATGGGGCTAGCAGCAGTGGTCTTGGTTGTGAATAGATGGACATAAGGGATGTCTAAGATAATAATAGATTTAGGGAACATGTAGTATTTTCTGGAAAATAGATTATTGAGTAGTTCTTCTTCCATCACCATGGGGACCAAAAAAGGTTGGGAAGAAAAGAGGAAGGAGTTGATTATATCTCTGCAGCAGGAAAATGTGTTGACTTCCTCTGAGGGGTATATGTTGCCTCAGGCTCCAATGTGGAACCTATGCCTCAGCTGATAGGTCGATGGAATAAATTACTAGTAAGATAGGGGTAAGGTATACTAAATAAATTATTAGTAAGATAAGGGAAGGCCCATGGATGGCTGGACTGGTATGGTAACTTAGTGCCTTATGGAGAGAGAGACAGAGAGATAGAGACAAAGATATAGACACAGAGAGAAAGAGAGATAGAGAGACAGAGACAGACAGATCCACACAGAGACCTAAAGAGATGGGAAAGTCCTGACCCTGAGGATTTTTTCTTCCACACAATTAGAGGGATCCAAATGGGCTTAGTTTCTGGAATCCAAATTGAACTAGATGAGAACAGAAGGGGAATTAGGGATTTAGGGTTAAAGCTTGGGGTTCTGAACTGACAGCCTCTATAGCCTAAGGCTCTTGTTCACTGAAAAGAAGCTATTGTCTACCCCATATTCTGAAGCTCTTTGAGGCATCAAGATCCCACATTTACTCTGTATACACAGATAGAAATTTCCATTTCCTAACAGTGACCTCTCACTGTTCAATTTTAGAAAACATTTATTTCCAAGTTGCTCATCCTGAGTACCTCAAACTCAATATTTGGCTTTCTGACAATTACAAGTAGAAGTTCATTTCAGTCACTGTATAGAAACCAAGTGATGGTAAACAACTCTATGTGTTAAGTGTATTGAAAATTACAGTATGAACCAAGAAATAGGACTATTCCCTTTAGGTTTGCCATAGTCGGCTATAACCTGTAATCAGTATGTGGAACAAGACCAGTGCCTTTCTAGGCTTTGGAAAGGAAAATATGTGGTTACAATGAGGCAAACACAGAGTTTCTCTTCTACTGTGTGTCACTTCATCCCATGGTGCTTTAGTAGGGTCACTGGAGTTGCTGGTATTAAAGTTCTGAGGTGCTTTTTCTGCCCCATGATTGATAATCAGTTTGCCTTTAAGTATCCATGTCAGAGGTCAGGATAGGAATGTGTTCATTCAGAATCCACTACACAGCTATTTGGTCCCTTTGCCAGCAAGACTTTTGTGATTTTTTCCTCCTTCAAAAGACACATCTTGGGTTTTAAGCAAAGAAGGACTAATTGTGGCAGAGTGACTGAAATGTAACTTGTAAAACAATATGCACTCTTCGTCTCTACTCTTTCTTTTTGTCTCTCAGCTCCATGGTTTCTGGGGGAGAAAGTTTATTACCCCCAAAGTATATGGACATATTGCCATTAAAGGTATGGAGGGTAGTTCACTTAAAAAAAAACTCTGTGAAAAACTTGTTTGTCAAGCTGCCCGACTTGCTTGGCTAGTCCCTGTATGGTGGCACTCAGACCAAAGAAATGGTAAGGGCTCTGTCTACTCTGCCTTGGCCAGGGTTAGCCTCCTAACCTAGACCCTTTGTGATCAGGCCGTCAGCCGGGCAGGCCCTTAGAACTCTATTTTTGGAATAATTTCTTTCTAAGAGTCATAAACCCTACTCTACCTGAAGGGCAGATGTTTCTCCCTGGCTTATGTGTTTGATTGGAGAAGCCAGAATTATTGGGCCATGGAAGGCTTAAACTTTGAAGGCAACTAGAAACAAGCCACCATAGATTTCTAAAGGCTTTAAGTTCTGACATCCTAGTGTTAAAACAAAACCGAAAACCAAAAACCTCAAGTTGTCTGAAACCTCCAGGGTATGTGAGTAGAGAGACCAGTTCCTTGCTACCTCTGGGGTAGGAATGTAGCTTAAACCTTCTGGAGGTCCATAAAGCTAATACCGGCCTCCCCTGGCCAATGCTGAAAGTCCTTGATCCTAGGGCAGAGTGAGAGCCAGCCATGCTATACAATGGAAAGGAGAATGGCTTAGGAGTCAAGAGTTCTGAGTCATAATCCCAATTCTGCCACTATCATTGATCCTGGGCAACACAGGTTTGACCATGTCATTCTCCTCCTCAGAAAACTCCAGTGGCTCCCTATTGCCCTTTATATTTTAAATGCAAACACCTATCTGGAGCATTTAAAGCCCTTTGCAACCTGATCCCACCCTACCTTTCCAGATTTATCACACGCTATTTTCCTTTGTGCGCACTTTAGTCCAGCCAAACTTGTTTTGGAAAGGACTCTCATGCATGACACTCCCTCTCACATCTCTGTGCTGGTGTACTGACTCTCCCCTATTCCTGGAATGCACATCCTCTTTAATTCTGCTTTTTAGAAGCCCTTCCATCAAGCGACACCCTCTGCACAAAACCTTCTCTAACTGCCTCCCACCACTGCAGGGACTCCTGCATCCGATCTCACCTGCCCCCAAATGATCTTGTTTCTATCTTATATACACCTATATATGTAGATGTCTTCCTCACTCCTTGAGGTCAGGGATTATTTTATTTCCGTATCTCCAGGGCTTAGCACATAGTAGGCACTTAATTAATGTTTGTTCATTCATTGATTTTTTAAATTTTTCAGGGCTTCAGTTTTCTCAACAGCATAATGAAGGGGCTTTACTGGATGACTTCAAAAGTTTCCTCTGACTGGAACGTTCTCGAACTTTGACAGTCTATGACTGCCTCACTTTGCTTTGTCCAATGTAATGTTAAGTGAACTTAATCAAAGACTACTCTGATCAAACTAAGCTGGACAGATGAATTAGAGCAATGTCTCTCAAAGCTTTACCTTTTCTGTCTCAGCCTCCAGCTGCTGCTTCTGCTTGGTACAGATCTGGCCCACCTTGGCCAGAAGGTCATATGGAGGGATGAAGATTCGGGAGCTCAGGAGGAAGGTGAAGATATAAGTCCTCTGTCAAGAGAGAAAGAGAGAAAGAAAAAAACCCAATATTTTAGTACTTGGTAGAAGTAATTTCCCCAATGGTGATGAATAAAACCCAATTCCTACTTCCTTATGAGCCTTTTCTGAATCTAGTCCAATGGTTTCCAAAGGTTCTGTGAGATCTTGAAAGATGTGCCACAAATTTTATGGAATATACACTTGCAACCTCAGGCCCAAGCTGCTTGATTCTCATAGCAATCCAAAGTTTCTCATGGCAAAGAACAATATGGTACTTTAAGCAAACAAAAGTTTGAGATACACTGATCTTTTCCAGCTCCCTCATCTGAAAGTTAAAGACACTGAGGACCCAAGATGTAAAATGATTTGGACAAGGGCGTATAGCTGGTTAGTGGCAGACCTAGTAGAGAATCGTATATTCCAGTTCCTGATCTAGAGTCCTTTCTAAGTCAAGTGCACTCTACCTAACACTGTTAATCAGTTTTACCACCACAATACTAGGTGAAATGATGTTACAGGGGGCAAAAGAAGTAATTTTATAAACTTTACAAATGAGTCATCTGCTGACCAGCATTATATGAGCTGTATAACTTTATGGCAGGATTTGGTTATAACGTATTTATGATTTTGCAAAATGACATTGCTCAGAGAAATCTTATGTAGAAAATGGCTGCATACCACATTGTCTGATGTGAGAGGTAGTCTGCCAGCTCTTCCTAGCAATGAATTTAGGTCCTTCTCTATGGCTATGTCAGTATTTCACAGTAACATACATTTTCAAAAGCACTTATTTGACAACAGGGGGCATCCATTCAAGCACTTTCAAAACAGGGCCACCTTAGTTGCACAAATGTTGTTTTTGGAGAGTCTGTTAAGTCCAGAAAAAACATTTGTCTGCAGGAAATTTAATGGTGGAAAGGTTAAAGAGAGTGTGTTGTTCAGTTTGTGAAAAAGATGTGTCCCAAATGGAGCACTTCAAATATTTTTTTACAATCATGAAGTGAATATGTTTTATTTTAATGGGAACAAAGTAAGCAGAGGCATAAAACTTAACACTTGGGTTGTCTGGATGGGCTCAAATAGCATATCTGTCCAAAGAACCGTGTCATTTGGAAAACACTTGCCAGTAGAAATGGAGCCAGTTACTCTAATTTATAATTTATAGTGAGACCTTCTGTTGCTTCCCCTTAGGTCCAAAATAGCTAGTTTAAAAGCAAGCAAGAAAATTTGCATGAAACAAGTTAGATCTAAGATGCATTTCATATTGGGCTTTGTTGTGAGCCACCTACCCATTACAGCAAGAAAACCACATCATGACTGGAGCAAACCTCCCACTCACTGCATCTGATCCCTGCTGATGGGTGTTACCTAGCAACCCTTGTTACTTGCCGGGGTAGGGTACAAGTACCCACCAAAACACCAACCAAACTCTGTGGGATAAGTGGCAAAATGAGTCATCATAAGCATCATAGAACTAGGTTTGTGATTTTAAAAAATGAACTTGGGAACTTTTTAATTTATTCATCTGTGTTTCCATCTTGTGCACTGTTCACAAGAATTTCTCCTGTTGCTAAAGAACCCTTTGATTTAACAGCTTAGGTAATTCCCCCTTTATACTAACAGGTGTTGAAAATGCGACGTCCCCATTTTGCTTCTTAGTGGTATTTCAATATGAATAGGATCATTAAGCCTTTGGTCATAGAGGGATTTTTTGTTTGTTTTTATTTTAAGGATAAACCTGAAAGAAGTGACAGATGAAACCACAGGAAGGGCTCCAGCCTATGAGACAGTTTTCCTCCAGACCAAGACTCTGTTATTTAGCAGAAGAAAGGCTGGAGAAAGAGAACGCTGCCACAACCTGCCTAGCAGATTGCTAGGAACCAGAGCAAGAATTAAACACAGGGAAGGGGAGAGGCTGGGGGGATCAGGGGGAGACATTCAGGAACCACTTCGGTGAAGTTGTTGTAAATATTCTCAATGATTGAAACTGGCTGAGTGAAGTTGCAGTTGAGAGGTACTGATCATAGTGAAAAGAGTCTTGGCCTTGGAGGCAGGGGAGATCAGGGTTCAAATCCTGTCTCCCACACCTAGTACCTATGTGATCATGAGTAAATCACTTAATCCCTCTGAACCTCAGTTTCCTTATCTGTAAAATGAGGGTAGAAATGCCTATAACAGCTGTCTCTCCAGGTTGTAGTGAGGATTGGATCACATAAGAAAAATACTTTGTAAATCTTAAATTCCTATAGATGTATCAGCTATTACGTATGATTACTATCGTTGCAGAGTGGCTCCATAATATCTAGAAACTTTTTATGGTCTTGGATATTTCCAATCAACCAAGAATGTAGCTGTTATTGGAGGGATGGAGGTTTATAGAAGTGATTCCTTTAGCCACTGATGCACGGGGTATGTCTGTACAATTTGTAAATGGGGATACCTCCCCCACACCAAATACATTGTTCTCTTAAAGAGAATTGAGGCATTGTCTGAGCTGCTCATGCTAAACCTGAGGAATCCCACCAGTTTGCTGTCAGAAAGGAGCCTTTGGTGGTCACAAGGAAAAAGTGTATTTTCCATATTCTTTGGCTGAAAAGTGAATCCAAGTGGATGATATCAGAAGGCAGTGATTTCTGGTACTTGTTACCTTTGCCCTGAGCCTTCACACTAGGGTATGGCAATTTGGTGGCCTAGTACATGGTGCATACAGTGCGGACTTGGAGGCAGAAAACCTGAGTTCAAATCCTGTCTCTTATGGTTACTAGCAATGTGATTCTGAACAAGTCACAACCTTTCAGCCTCAGTTTCCTCATTTGTAAAATTGGGATAATAATAGCAGCTACTTCCCAGGAGTGTTGCAAGGACTGAATGAGATGATATATGTAAGGCATTTTACAAGCCTTAAGTGCTATATAAACAATATGGATTCATTTTTATTATTTTATTATTATTATTATTATTATTATTATTATTAGTGCCCTGAACTAAGTCCTTTTCCTGGTCTCGAGTTCCACTCTATTCATTACTTAGAGCCATTCCTTTAATGTTTTCCTGTGACTCCATGAGAATTTAGCTGAAAAATCACCAGGCTTATTAGGGAAGGACACTGTTGCTGTTGTTGTTTGTCCTTCATTCTCGAAGAGGACCATGACATCAGGGAGGTGATGCCATGACACGCAAATGAACTGGATTTAAGTGAAGGAGGGCTGTGCAAAGTCACCGGTCTCACTTTCTCCTTCAGAGCCATCTGGCTCCAGTGGCCAGATATAGATCAGGATGACAAGATGGCCCTGAATACAGTGGGAGACCTTGGCCTTTTTAAACTAAGGCCTTAAACAGATTTCAGTTTGACTGAGGCAGTGCCCGTTCAATGATTAAGGCTAGGTAAAAAATAAGGCAGATAATGGCTTTTTATATAAAGAAAGTTAGAAGTCAGAAAGAAGTCTGTGATAGGATGAATTCAAAGAATGGCAGAGGTCACTCTGGGCCTGTTCATTCTGGTCCCCCTCCTTCTCTCTCAAACTCAAGAGACATTTGCCCAAGGGCTGATGGGGGCACCTGAATGGATTGGTGCGGCTGGGTGTGGAGTAAGGAATGAAGCCTCAAAGCCCTAGTTTCTGGAAATTGCCTGCTGGTCTAGTTCACTTATTTGTTTTTCCAAGAAAAAGGTCCTTGTCCCTAGGGGAGTAGGAGGAAAGATCTTGCCCATTCTAGGGAGGGCACATATTTGAGTGACTCCAATAGGAATGTGGAAGAGGAGGAGTGTCTAGCCACTGTATATCTGCAATACCAGTTCTTAGTCACCATGAAATAAATACTTGTCACTACAGCGGGGCTGCCTGGTGGGCTCCCCCTTTTTCATGAAATACTTCCTGCTTTCTCATGACTGTTATAAAAGCTAAACCCCCTTTGGGTTAAGCTTCTCCCGAGTTTTCCTAAAACCTTGAGACTGGTTCTTTTTTGCCCTGAGCCCCTGCCCCTACCACCCTCAGGCAGGAGTCCAGCAGTTTAGGAAAATGCATCCAATCCTGTAGTTTTAAAACATTTTTTTCCTGACCTTGGATATACCCAGAGTCTCCTAGTTGGTGTCTGACTTCAGTTTTGCAAGCACATTTGCAATCATCAGCTCAGTCACACCTGCTGCCCCAATGTTGACCTAACAGGGCCTAGGCTAAGAGTAAGAAGTCCTGGTCCCCAAGGAAGGAATAGAGCAGAGTATTTTGGGTCATCCCTACCAGAAGCTAGGTGGTATATTGGGAGATGTCAGTGTCTGATTTACTAACATAATTTGGTTTCTTCTTACTCTCCTTTCCTTGATGAAAGAGGTTATGAGGGAACTGAGATGCAAAACTCTGTCACTGAAAGGAGTTAAAGAAAAACTGTAGTTACTGCCTGCCTCCTTCCCCACAGTGATGGTGAAGTGGTGGCCATACTTATCACTCACAAAAGCCAATAGGTATTTGAGAAGAGGAGGTGGCATGAGGGAGAGCAGCAAGAAAAGGAGAGAGAGAGAGAGAGACAGAGAGAGAGAGAGACAGAGACAGAGAAAGGAGGGAAGCCTGCACAAATACTCAGCACTCAGAACTGATCAACCTAACACAAAAGGAGTTAGTGCTTCCTGAGTGAAAAGGCAGGCAAATACCACTGATGTCTACATGGGTTGCTAAGAGACATCATCAATTAAGAGAAGGAGGAGGGGGGTAGGGAAGTAAAGCCTGGGACCAAAGAGAGAGCTATTACTTTATATCCCAAGAATGTACCAATGTTATTTGAAGATGAAGAGGGAGGGAAATGGGGAAAGAAAGTTTTGTTTTTGCTCTTTCTGCTCAGTCTGTATTGTACGGGATCTGTCTGCCATACGTCTTCAGACACGACGGTGGCAGGGACCAGGACATTCCATTCCTACACTCCAGCACACAGGATACCATGTACAAAACAAACCTCCCAATTTAGACACAAGCTCATGTGCTATGCCTATTGCTCATCTGCTCAGACCAATTTCTCTGAGTTCTGATCTGATAACATATCCATCTACTACCACCACCATGCTTCCCTTACCCTTCCCTTTTGTTCTAGAACTGCCCCAAAGAGGTTAACTGTTCTCTCAATTATCCAAGCATCAAAGATTCAGCTTGTCTATCTTTGCTTCTATTGCCTGAGATTGTTATTCACTCTTTGGGCTGTCTCTTTTCCCCAGAATCACCTCTAAATAGCTATTGGCTTCAGGAAGGGAAAAGAGATGCCATGTAAATCAGAGTACTGGTCCTCTTAGCAGATGTTTCTGTAAAATGGTTGGGCTAAAGTGAGTCTGTGGAATATTTTGCTTATCTACAGGCTCTTTCCCTCTGTCTGCCTCAGTTTCTCAGTTTAAGTATCTATCATGTCTGGGGGACACAAAGTAAAAAAATGATACAGTCTCTAATCTTAAGGAATTTACATTTGGGGGTCAGTGGAAATGTATATACAAAATTAAGCACAAAATATGTACCAAATAAATAAAAAGTAATTAATAGGAAGGAGGAGAACAAGCCTTTATTAAGTACCTACTATGTGCCAGGCACTGTGCTAATAGCTTTATAAATATTACCTCTCTTGATCCTCACAACAACCCAAGGAGGTAAGTGCTATTATTATCCTTATTTTACAGTTGAGGAAACTGAGGCAGACAGAGGTTAAGTGACTTGCTCAGGGTCACACAGTTGAGGTCTTTTGGTCTCCAGGCTCAATACCCAACTGAGTGTACCACCTAGCTGCTTTTACTAGGGGAAGAACACTAGCAACTTCCTAGTTATGAGAGCTAGCTAGGCTCCTGAGCTGAGCTGCAAGGGAAGGGAGGTTTCTACAAGATGGAAGTGAGATGGGACTGTCTTCCAGGCATAGGGTACATACAACCTGTGCAAAAGATGCAGATTGGAGCTGGTAGGTCATGAATGGGAAATGGCAATCAGGCCAGTTTGGCTGAAATGTAAAGGCAGCAAAGGCGAAGAGCATGCAATAGACCTGAAGAAGGCAAGTCAAAGCCAAATTGCATTTGGTTTCCAAAACCAAATAGAAGAGTTTTTATTCTAGAGACAAGTGGGAGCACTGGTGCTTATTGAGCTAGGGAGTGGTGTGGCCAGACTTATTTTTAAAGACCAGATTTCATTGACAGAGAGGCAGTGCAGTATAGTAGAGATGACCTCAGAGTTAAGAAAATCTGGGTTCAAGCACTATCTTTGACAGAAACTGGCCATATGACTCTGGGCAAGTCACTTAACTTCTTTAAATTTGGATGGTGCAGTGATCCTGCCTCAGACACTTACTTGCTGTGTGACCTATGTAGATATGTAATTTGGCACTTATAGGTTACTGCCTTACATATTTATTTGTCCTTTTATATGTAAATGCTTTGCTTCTTCAACTAGCTTGTATGATTTCTAGGGGAAGGGACCTGGTCTTAGGTTTGTTTTTTTTTTGTTTGTTTGTTTGTTTCCTCCGAGCACCTAGGACAGTTCCCCGAATATAATAGGAGATGAACAAAAGTTTGATCAGACAAAAAACTGCTGTGGTAGCGGTCATTTAATAGTGGGCTAACCATTGGTATCAAGAGACCCCAACATGTGGGAAATCCGAGGGGAAGCCAGAGCTGTAATGGCAACCAGGGTGGTCCTAGGGGGGAGTTGGAGGAGAGGGGCAGTGAAGAAGCCTCAGTGAAATTCTCTCATCACCATTGATGCTTCCTTCTCACCTTCCAGGCTGGCGCTGAATGTGTCTTTAAGGAAACTCAGCAGAGAGTCACAAGTAGCAGAATCACCATCATTAAACTAGTCCTGCCACACTCTCAGTTTAAAAGATAAGACCAGAATGGGTACTGATGTTCTGAAAACATCCAGTGTAGTGTGGTCAGGAGTAGCTATCAAATTTAAGGTCTTTAGGAACCTGGAGGGACTACTCAGTGCCACCAGGATTTCTTTTTTTGCAAGTGGAGGAATAGACATTAGCAAGCACCATGGGGTGAAGAATTTGTGTGTGTGTGTGTGTGTGTGTGTGTGTGTGTGTGTCTGTGTGTGTGTCTGTGTCTGTGTCTGTGAGTGTGTGCATGTAGTATTTTCTAGCCTGGATTTTTATAAATTCCAAACAAGCCATTACTCCCAGCCAAAAAAATAATAAAGGAAAGAAAGTTGTGTTTAGGTTTGCGTATGGGAGAGAAAGGGGGAATTTCAGTGCTAGAGGTGGAGGAGATAATCTAGGTGTGTGGTTGTACGTCACCATCACTAGGCTGGATAGAACTTTTTAACCTCAATCTTCTCCTTCATTTAAATTCAATAAACATTTTTGTGTACCTACTATGTGTTGCCCACTGTGCTAGGCACTGGATCTGTGAGTTCATTGGTATAAAGAAGTCTGAAATGAGGAACCCCCCCTCAACCACTGCAGATCAATACCTTCTCTGCTACTTAGAATATTAGGGAATTATCTGGAACACTAAGGAGTTAAGTGATTAGCCAAGGATCACATAGCCAAATTATTTAAGGGTAGGATTTGAACCCAGGTCTTTTTGGCTCCAAGGCTAGATCTTTATCCACCATGTTAAGTTGCCTCTTGGAAAACAGACATGTATACAGTTGCATATACACAAGTGGGAGGAAGGTGGATGCTAACAATTGGGGGGGGTGATGGAGATAAAGAAAACTTGCTTTAGGGTTTGGCATGTAAGCTACAACAGGTAGAGTTTTAGGGTCAAGGTGAGTGTGCTAACTTTGTTTGATCACCTTTTACTCCTATCTAGACTTCCAGGTCAGGAAGCTTCTTTCCTTCTATGGATTGCCTCTGAAGTCAAGGAGCAGCTGACCTTGGGCTGAGTCACAGAATTCCTCCAGCCAGCTTTTGTGGAATGTGAACTTGCTTCTGTCTCTCAGGTGGGCTGACTGAAGGAAACTTCCAGGTGGTACCTAAATTCTAATGGAAATGGGCCTGGGATTCCTGCCCTGGGTAGGAGCCAGTTTCAACCTCATCTCAACTCAGTGCTTGTCAAAGTCCCACCCATCTCTTTCTAATTTTTGCTTCATAGCAGGTTTAGGTAGCCCCTTCATTAGTCCCAAGGAGATTTCCAAGCCCTACCCACCCGTGTTTTAGGAACAGACAAGTGATTGAACTATAACAGCTCCAGCTAATCTCAAGCAAGGCTTAAGCTGGGTTTTTGCTAAGGTGACTGTCATGCCATATACATACAAACCAAACCCTTTCTCCCCCAACCCCATCCAGCAATCTACTTACATCTGGATAATAATCCACGGTGGGGACCAGGTGCTCAATCAAGGCTTCTAAGGATCCGGAGATAAGATTCCCATCCTGGAAAACGAGGTCTCCACCACTCCGCTCTCCCATGTCTGGCTGCACCTGTCCACTACAACTAGACCCAAGCATACTGGAGAAGATTGGTGTCTGGGGCATAGTTTCCTAGGTGGGGGGAAAAGAGGCCATAAGACATCTCAAAGACTCTCTTTATGTGATCTTCCTCCTCCTCCTCAGGTTGGCTGGCTGTGGGCATTGTACAGAAGCTACATATTTGAGTGATCTCAGAAGGGCTCTGGGAGGGAAGAAAATATCCAGCCACCACCCACCTACAAGATGCCTTTGTGGCTCAAGTGAAATGCCAGTTCTTGGGTGTACTGCTGGGCTCTCCTTTCCTTATTTCTCATATTAAACAAGCAGCAAATTTCTTACCTCCCTGGGATTGTTTTAAAATCTAAAAAACTCCAGTCTGGGACTTTAGCTCCTCTGAAATTTGCAGATTGACCATGCAAGTAACTCTGTGGGTGAGATTGCTGGCCTCTGCTGTTTATTGTGCAAGTGATAAACTGCCAGTCTTTGAGCACAAGACTAGATGTAGACAGAATGTGCCCCTATCTGAGGGGAGGGCTGGTCCCCAGGGGAGGGGGTGGGTCAAATTCATATCTGTGGTTTGTGTCCCTCTGAAAACCCCCACAGGAAAAAAAAACATAGGAAAGCATTCTTTGGTGGTATTTTCTTGGAAAGTGACTACTACATTTGATATTATGGGGAACCACTATGTGTACCCTGCTTGTCTTCTGCCAGGGAACTCCTGGCAGGCCAGTGTAGTCAGAGTTCCTACTCAAACAGGCAACACAAGGCCAGGGTTCAATCACATAATTTTAAGGTTGAAAGGGGCCTCTGAGGCCATCCAGTCCAAGAAGAATCCCCTTTATGTTATTTTTGACAAGTGGTCATTTGGCCTTTGTTAAAACACTCCTGCTCAGAAAGTGGCAGCTGATTCCACATTTTGTCATTAAAGAAAGATTCTTTACATTGAAATGAAATTTACCTTTCTCCAGCTTCCATAGAAACACAGAGATGAGAAGATGGTAGGCTTAAAGTCACATAATAGGCTGGATGAAAGTGGGGATTAAAACTTGGGCATTTCATAGGCACGTGCCTAGCCCACGTCTCCAATCCTGCCTCTGTATGTGAGCGTAAATATAGCATTCTAAATATGGCATTTATGGAATAGACAATAGACCCGTTCACTACCATGCTCTGCCTCCTTAGCTCCCTTTTCCAGTGTGTGAGGATGCGCACCATCCTCTTTCTGCCCTCCCTATTCCTTTCTCCCTACTTCTCAAAGGAAATGTTGGGAGGTACTTTTTTCAAGTGAAAGGGGCAGCCAGTCTGGCCAAGTTGAGATGTTTACAGTCCCATGGTGAGTTGTCACTCCAGCTTTGCTTGCCCTCATGGGCTCCTCTCCAGCTAAGACTCCAGTTTATGTAAAGAGCAAAAACTGAAAGCAAAGTGTGCTATAAATTTCACTGACACCATGGACTAGGTTGGGATTTCAATACTATACTTGGCTCCATTTTCCTTCAAAGCCTCTATCTCTCCTTTCCCCACTCCTCTCTCGGCTGCGTTATTTCCTTGGCTCAGTCTATGAAGTTCACCATCAAGGAGATTTTGGATACTGGTGGATTAGCTGAATAGACCTACCTCGTAGTGCGGCAGAATAACTTATTACGTATTTGAAGAGCCGGCAGTCTCGTCTCTTCCTTTAAGCTGTTCCATGAGAATATGTATTTCTACCTTGTCCCCTGTGATTTTTTTTAATGGAGTTCAGTACTTGAACCCAAACAATAAAAACAGAAACTCATATGCCTAACTGAAGTGTTATTTCCTTAAAATCCTTAATAAAAAAAAATACATTCAGGGAATGACAAGGCACTGGAAATTGGGAGAACTGAGTAGCAAGCTTTCTTTTTTATCTCCTCTGGGATTTTAATGTGTCTGTGCTATATTATTTTTCCATCAGCCTATGGAGGGAGACTAAAATACTTTCTCCCAGTGCCTTGGGAGAATAGTCAGTCAACAAGCATTTATTAAACACTTAATATATGCCAGACATAGGGCCAAGCTCAAGAGGAAGACAAAGAAACAAAGACAAAATCTGAACAATCCTTTGCCCTCAAGGAGATTATATTCTAATGGGGAAGACAACAGTCATGTTTACAAGTCCATACTAAATAAATACAAAGCAAATACTGTGACTTCTTAGAAGAAAGCACTTCCTGGTAGCAAGAAAGATGGATAGGAGCTCCCCAAAGTAAGAGAGTGGGTAATTGAGAGACAGTGAGTTCATTCTAGCTATAGAGAACAAAGTTAGCAAAGACATGGACTCCAGAAAGTATGGGATGTATCCAGGAGTTAGCAAATAATCCAGTTTGGCAGGGCTTAGGTTATTATAAATAATACAGACACTGCCCATCTCTGGGTGGGCTGTTGTCTGGCTACCTGTTCTCTAAACATCAGGCAGATAAGCAATAAGGATCAGTGAATTTCTCAAGATGGGGAATTCCTGGTGTGGGAACTCCCTTCACCCATCCAGGAATGGGTTATCTCCAGAGTAGAAAACGCCTATGCACCCCAGACAATTCCATTGGAATGATTTGCCCATAAAAGAGAATCACAAAGTAAAAGATTACACCTTAGGTGTCACTGTGCAAGACAAATAGTAGGTACTTAATAAATAATTGTTGAATTAAATAAGTGCCCAATGATGTCTAAAAGGCAGGATTCTCTTTTGTGGATGTAACTCTTCACCTCCATTGATAGTAAATGTTGGACTCAGCAAAGCTTGCAAACTATGGTGTGTCAGTTGCGAGTTAAATGCTTATATCTGTGATGTGACTGTAAATTCTGGGAAACAACATTAAATACTACTACTGCTACTACAACAAATAACAACCACCACCACCAACCAGGCACAGGGAACTACCAGTCACTAGCAGGATCTGAATCTGAGCCCTCTGCTAGCCCTTTCCCTGACCCTAGAAAAACAATGAAAGTGTTAAAAGCTACTCACATTTTCCTTGGTTATCAGAAAAAAATGGGTGAGTAGTCTCTCTGCCCACACTTATTCCTACTCCAATCCCAGTTCTACCTGCTTCAGGGGTTACCAGACTCAGAGAAGGCAGGCACTAGTTGATAGTGGAAGCAGTGTGTATATCCTCACCCCTGGCCCTAGAGAAAGCCCCACAGAAGTGAAAGAGAAATGGGAATTTCTAGATTTCCTTTTCCTGTGGGCTGGAGAGGGCCAGGACTCTTTTTTAAGGCTTCCCAAGTGTGGTCTTGGGTTGGTCAAAAATGTAAGGAAGTCACTCAGAAATATATGTGTGAGGTCTTTTAAAGTCAAAGGAGCATACTAGAAGGTTTGAAAGTTACCTTCTGAGCCCACCCACACGTAGAAAGTTTAGAATACTGTTGTTTCACTGTGGCTTCCTGATCAGTTTACCAACATTAGCCTCATTGTGTTCTGATCAAGAAAACTCAGATGTAAGGAGCATACCTACATAGGCATAAGGAGTCTATGTTGAGGCCATGAAATACAAATCAGAGGATTCTTTCATCTACTCCCCTAAACACCTGCCTTAACAGCTTCATGGAAGTCAGGGGTGGGGAAAGAAGAAAAAATGTTTTGCGATCTCCTGGCATCTAGACCTCCCCCAAAGCAAAGAGATGGTCTTACATGGGGCGTGGGTACAGGTGAGCCTGAGCAGATGTTTCAGCTATTTGTCACAGTGCAGGACAGTCAAGTACTAATATTTTCACCTCCAGAGACCTTCCATCTCACTCAGGCTGCCTTACTTAAAGCCTAGATGACCAAATAGGCTTTTGTAATCAAATAAAAATGCATAGAATGTGACAAATGCCACATAATGATATGGAATGTGAGGAGGAAATATAAAGAAAAAGCAAAATACTTCCTTGTTGCATTAACGCAGGTGTGTCTGTCTCCAGAAACCATGAGGGCACATGTGGCATTAGGTCCTCTCGGAAAGGAGAGGAGATCTAGACACACACTCTTTGACTCTTCTTAGGTAATTCGGGCTTGCACAATCATCAATCCAACCCACCACCACATTTTGGGCTAACTATATGCTTCACTACGAACTGGGACAGGAAATGAATGAGTGCTAATGGTGCAGTCAAGGAGAATGAAGTCCAGTACAGGGCTACCCAGGTATTACTGAGTAATAACCCAGCTTCCTGGAAATTATAAGCAGAATGTCCCAGGCTACTTGCTTAGGGTGGAATCTGGAAGGAGGAGCAATAAGGTGGAGGGTAGGAGGAAGTAGAAGACTTTATGCCCACCTCTTGATCCTGGAGTTGGGGGGAGGGAAGGGCACTCAACTGGGAGTTAGAAGCCCCTAGGGCTTATTGAGCATGGGGCTTCTCAGAGAAAACACAAAACACAAATAACACTGTCAACATAACTAATGTGACTCTGGTGACTGTATTCTTGGAAGCAAACAAACAAAAACTCTTCTTTCCCAGCCCAGAGAATACTGCATCTGTTACTATAAACGGTGGCTTTCTAGGGCATACACTGCCTTCTTCATCACTCCTGTCCCCTTTCCTATTTAACTCCTTGGTCACGGGTACATTTTTCCTACCCAAAACGACCCACTATGAAGGATCCCTTCCTGGGTGCACCGAAGAAGGCAAACACATAGTCAGCCTGTTTTTGCCCAGTTACCTTTTACTGTGTGCACTTTCATCTGCTCCATCACCAAGTAAAGAGACTTGTAAATTAACACACTTAAATTTAGCCAGATCTGGCCAAGACTGGGGCTTCTTAACCTTTTTGTAAAAATCATATCCTCCTTTAGCTGTCTATGAATCGCCAGCCAAGGACTCCCTTCTCAGAATAGTATTTTAACACATAAAATAAAATACACAGGATCACAAAGGAAAGCAACTTCATTGAAATATGATTACAATTTTTTAAAGATTTCATGAATCTAAGAACACCTGCCTTAGATTGAACATCTCCCTCTGTCCCAAAGACTCTGAAGGGAGCAAGATTCTCTCCTCTATCCCTACCAACTTCAGATTCACCCTAATCCTGCTCAGAACGACTGCGACCTCCCGAGCTCTGCGCAGCCAAACAGGTCACTCTGACCAGGACATAAAAGTTCTGTCCCCCTGTGACACCCTTCCGTGATCCAGGCAGATTCCCCTGGACCGAGGGCAGCAGACTCCAGTGGATAGAATGCTGGACTTAAGAGTCAAGTTATATTACCTATAACCACGGGTAATTCACTCAGCCACTCGCATTTTATACATAGGAAAACTGAGGGTCAGAGTATCGTACTAAGGCCCCTTCCAGCTCTAATTCTAGGATTCTAGGATTCTCCAAACAGCCAGGGCAAAGATACCAACATCTTCAAATGCCAAGGAAGCAGGTGTGCGTTGGAGTCAAGGACTCTTCCAAGCAAATTCTGCCCCTTGCTGTCTCACTCTCTCCCTGACCAAATACCAGGCTTTTCATCCATCCTCAGCAGCTTGAAGAATTTTAGAAAGATCAGAGGGATCTCCGGCTGCCCCAATCCTTCTGTTTCCCTTGGGAGGCTTCCGCAACTAGGGGGTGCCTTTAGCCAAAAGCCCAGACCACTTAGTTTTGTTATCCAAACTCATGCCCAGTGCCCAAGAGGAGAAAGGACAACTTACCCTCATTGTCTTCTGCAGTATGTACATAAAAGCCCGTGATCAGGCAGCAGAAGCAAAACAAAACAAAACAAAACTCCGAGTGGTGACCGGGGGACAAAGAGGGAGCTTTAGGCTGTCAGCACTGGGTCCCCCAGCTCCAGCTGGCCAGAATCATCCCCTCATTCCATCCCAACCCGGGTTCCTTCTTGTTTGCTGCGGTAGCGTTTCTCCTGCTTCTCTGCCTGCCTGCCTGCCTTCTCTGCTTCCCGCCAGCTTGGCTCTGAAGCGCCCCAGGCTCTTTGGAGTAGAGAACAGAGAGCCCGAAGCTGACGTCACGCCCTCCCCAGGCCTGTGGTTGGCTGAGGGGAGGGCTGCCTGATTCAAAAGCAGCCCTAGCAGAGCTCCGTGGGGTCCGTGGGCTGCAGGCACATGCCTCCGCTTGGTGGGGATGCTAGTGCCGCGGCTGGGGCTGCTGACAATGATGCTGGGGGAAGGAAGCTGGGGGAGCCCAGATTTTCTCTCCCCTTTTTGGCAACCGGAACCTGTGCATCAGGTTAGGCAACTCCTATGAGCCTCCTCCCCCTGTGGCAGCCTAGAAGAATAAAAGGCATTTCCACATTCCTTATATGGCTCAAGAATAATCTTCAGAAAACGTGAGAGGAGAGAGACCTTTCTCTGCTTTGATCTGGGTCTGTTTATGGTAAGAAAAAGCCCAGGACTTTCAATCCTGGGGTAAGATGGATTCCCCACAACCGTCCCTAGCAACCTCTAGCCTATAAGGTTGCCTTGACCAAATTTCCAGGGAAATTTCCATTTCACCTCGTTTCCTTCAGATCTTTTGGCCCAGATGGCGTTTCAGACTGAGTGAGGACCCCAGTCAGCACCACCATCATCCCCAATTTCTCTATTCCAGGCTCTCTCTGCAAAAGAGGGAGAGTTCTTATCCCTTCTTCCTGCATCTCTTCACTTTGAGAGCGTTCTCTAGTAGGAATGCTCACCCTTCCCTTCTGCCAGCATCTCAGAGTGCATCCTTCTCTGAACTAAGTCCAAATGCACCCACAGCTTGGCTCAAGACCCACCTCCTCCCCCAGTACATTTCTGCTTTTCTCTGTAGTCCATCTGGCTTTACCTTTCTTTCAGCTGTTTCTGAACTCTAGGGGAAATAAAGGCTAGGGAAGACTTCTTATTTCCTTACAGAGCAGAGGGGCCATGCAGGGTATGGGAGCAAGAGAGCCCCCTACATATGGAATCCTGTGAGATACAATGATTCAGTTCTGCTCACTTGGAATAAGTAATATCATCTGCTTTCCTCACCCACCAGGTGGTTGGCTGCACTACCTTTGCCATGTACAAAGGTTAACCTGACTCTGATGCCAACATCAGGAGAAACATCAAATCCGTTGGTTGTCCTCAGAACCATTCATTCTATAGCCAGATCATAAGAGCAAGCATGCCCAGTTCTTTGGACTGAGTACATACTTAGCATGTTACCCTCAGCCAAACTTCTGACACATTCCCTCTCCACCCACACCTCTAAGTAATATTGTTTTTTACTGTCATTATCTCATCCTCAGGCCTTTTGGAGTCTGATGTTACCTCCCCCACTCCTGATTCAGTAACCACAACCAGCACATCTTTCATTTACTTCAATTTAACAAACACCTAGTAAGCACCTACATATAGTATGCAAGGTGAAAGAGAGCCTGTGTAGTAGATAGAAAGCTGGCTTTGGAGCTAGAAAGACCTGGGTTCAAGGGCTACTTGTGGCACAGATTATCTCTGTAAGCCTGGGCATGTCATTTAAATTTTTAGTGTCTCAGCAACCATCAAAGTATAAGTAGCAGAAAAGCTGCCAATCTGCTTTGGTAGAGGGAGGATCCTCACAGGGAATTTCCTTGTTGTTGAATTGTTTCTATCATGTCTGACCCTTTGTGACTCCATTTTGGGATTTTCTGGTCGAAGATACTGGTTTGCTATTTCCTTCTCTCTTTTTTTTTTTGTTTGTCATTGCTTTTTGGTGAGGCAGTCAGGGTTAAGTGACTTGTCCAGGGTCACACAGCTAGTAAGTGTCAAATGTCTGAGGCAGTATTTGAACTCAGGTCCTCCTGACTCCAAGGCCGGAGCTCCATCCATTTTGCCACCTAGCTGTCCCTTGCTATTTCCTTCTTCAGCTCATTTTATAGATGAACTGAGACAAACAGGGTTAAGTGACTTGTCCAGGGTCACAGAGCTTGTAAGCATCTAAGGTTGGATTTGAATCATGAAGATGAGTCTTTCTGATTCCAAGCTCAGTGCCTATCCATTACGTCACCTAGCTATCCCCCAAGAATTTCCTTCACCAATGAAATCACAAGTCTAGATTGACACAAAAATTGAAAGGCATAATGGTTCCCCTTAAGCTCAGGATAGAAACAGGAAATATTCTTTCCCTCATGGAACCTGCACTTTACATGAAGGGATTTAACCAAGGGTGTGCTAGACTCAGGAACCAACTCAGAAGAGTTGATCATTAAATTTTCAATGTGAAGATTCACACCTTGATTAGCCACAAAGCTACAAATCGACTTGATTTATTTTTGATTTTGTTGTCTAGACTTAAGAAAATGATGGAGAAAATGTAATGTAGATTAAACATATTTGGAGACCTGGTTGTTACACATTTACAGTACACTCCTGGTTATAACACATATACAAATATATACACACATATATTTGTGCATACATATACGTACATATACACATATAATATGAAGTAGGCTGTGATGAGGAAAGACAATAAGAAATTGAGGGGAGGAGAAAACCCATTTGAGGTGAGGACAAGGGAAGGAGGATCAGGGAAAGCTTCATGGAAGAAGGTGGTACCTGAGTTCAGCTTTGAGAGGATAGCACTTCAGAAGGCATGGATGAGAAGGGAATGGATCCTAGTAATGGGGGATGGTCTGTATGAATGTATGAGAGCCTAGGATGAGATCAGGGAATAGGAACATAGGTTTAGAGCTGGAATGGAACTAAAAGACCATTGAGGCCAACCTGGAATTTTACAGATAAGGAAACTGAGGCACAGAGCAGTTAAATGACTTTCCCAGGCATATCTATAAGTGCTAAAGTCAGAAAGACCTTCATAAAATCCTGCTTCAAAGTTCAGTACTCTATCCATTTTATCATCCAGTTTGGCTCATATGTAGAATGTATGAAATAATGCTGGAAAAGTAGAATAATAATAATAATGATAATAGGTCTAGATCTAGGAAGGAACTCAAAGGCAATCTAGTTCAACTCCCTCCTTTCACAGATAAAGAAAATGAGGCCTAAGAAAGGTAAATGATTTGACTAAGGTCACACAGAGTTGGGATTTGAACAACCCAGGATGTCTGGCTCCAGAGTTAGCAATTTTTCTACCTTGTATTCTGGTCAGGGGATGTGGAAGGAGGGTTAGACCTTTAACACTAGGTCCTCAGAGCATACTGCTTCCCATATCATAAGGTTTAGAGTTAGACAACATCTAATCCAACCACTTTTTACAGAAAAGGAGACAGACCCAGAGGGGTTAAACCTTGACCATGATTACTCCAAATACTCAGATCACAATCCATCCATTCCTGTGCAACTTGTGGGACTTTTATCAATGTCCTCCAATAAATTCTTCACAAGGGGTCACTTGTCCGCTCCAACCTTCCTGACATTTTGAGGGGGCAAATGGAACATTTGGACTGTCCACTTGTCATTCTTTGCCCCTTCAAATGGTCAGCCAATGGTTTCTAATTTTCCATTTCATCGATGATGTCTTCTACGCCTATCTTCAGAAGCTCCTTAGGGGCTATGTGTTGTTGTCTGCTCAGACCTACTATGCCCTGGGTCTGTCTTTGGATCTGATTATACTCCTTGTCTCACTGGCACACAGGTCGCACAGCTGGAAAATAGCATAGACCTGAATGAAGGTCTGCTAACAGTGATAGTCAATTGGCACGAAGGGCACCATAACCAGAGAACTGGAAAGGTATTGTTTCAAGTCTGTTAGTATGCTTTATTTGTTCAGAACTAATTACCTCCCTCTCTTCTAACCTCTTCCCACTGATAATTGAGTTTCTGCTTCAACTTTCTCTTTGAGTATGGCTAAGTAGCCTTTGTTTGTACAAGGGGTTGGCAGGAACATGCTAATTGCCCATCAAAGGTAGCCGAACAAAGTAGTCATATCAGGAGAAAAAGCAGCAAGCCTTCTATAAATATCAGTCAGAGCTCCCCCCCCAAAAAAAAATGGATGCCAGCACTAACAGGAATAGCAAACAGGCGTGTTGGTCTTTAATTAGCCACAAGAGCTAGTAGCAGGAATGACAGAGGATTGATGGTCTTGGTATGTCTGGAGCACAAAAGAAATTGTATAGTGATCCCATGAAAATGTGTTGCATTTGTGTTTCTGCCAGAGGGAAGAAAGAGCTATGGAAGAACAAAGTTCCAGTTGGTATCCCTCAGAGCAGAGAAGGTGAGAGGGCAGAAGGCATTCCTAGCCACTCTCCAGGCGATTAGGGAGAATGACATGGTCCTTAAGAAGAATGGGAGTTCTTTCAAGAGGTAGCAATGAAGGAAAAGAACCTGAAGAGGAATCCTGATCCAAATAATGGGATCACAGCTTTAAAGGTGGAAGAAATCCTGAATTTCCTTCATTCTATCCCTCTCTAACCCCAATGCCACCCTCACAGTACAGATTAGAAACCGGATGCCCAGAGATCTGAATCGACTTTTCCAAGAGCATATAGAGAATACGTAGAATAGGACCAAAACCAGATCTCTGACTCCCAATCCAATGTTATTTCCTCTGCACGATGCCACTTTTCATGGTGGAAGGCAGAAGAAATGTGATTCAGTGAAGGAAGGCAAGAAGAAGAAGAAGAAACACTTGAAGGTATATAATAGCTATGAGGCTCTCTCCTGTGCCACCCAAGCTGTCTCCAAGGCAGCGAAGTGGTGCAGTGGATAAAGTGCTGGCCCTGAATCAGGAAAACCTGAGTTTAAATCCAGCCCTAGACACTCACTAGTTGTTTGACCCTGGGCAAGTCACTTAACCTCACTATGCTTCTGTTTGGCCATCTGTAAAATGGGAATAATAATAACACCCGCCTGGAAAGATTGTTGTGAAGATGAAATGAGATATTTCTAAAGCATGTAGCACAGTGTCTGGCACACAGTAGGCATTTAATAAGTTCTTATTCCCTTCCTTCCCTTTGCTCTCCCTATAGAGAGTATGGGGAGGAAGTAGCTTCTTGTGTTCAAAAGAATGATAAGATGGATTCAAAA